TTAACCAGCTGAGCTACTACAAAATGTAAGCAATCTACTGCATTTGCGGTCTCCTTCCCACAAAAATGACGTATGTTTCTTTTTAAAAATAGGCATAGTATGTACTGGATAGCATCATTAAGAGTGAAACACCAGTAATAATCACAGATTTAGAAAGAGTTGCTAAGCACCATACTACCCACCACAGAATTACAAAATGCACTGACCCCTACCTTGAGAGGAACAATCACCTCTACATAAGCAATTAGCCATGTTCTTCTCTTGCCTTATGCCATGGTAACCTCATTAGACCTAGCGTTTCCCTCACATTTATTTGATCGTAGTTTCATCATTCTTGGAGCCACTTACACATCTAAGATTCAGAGCACTATCATTATACCACCGCTTCAAGAGCTATTCATGTATAATTCAAAGATTTTCACTCTGAATTAGCCCATTATCCATAAGATCAGATCTAAACGTTCTCTTTTCTTAAAGCACAAAGGGCTCAGCTATGCTCAGAAAGGTAACATTCACTATCGTTAAACAGAGAAGAAACTTTAACATGCTGTTTTAGCGCGTGAAGTGTATTCAGCCCTTTAGCAGCCATCCTGCTCGTTTACAGGACACGCAAAAGTTACAGCATGAAACAAATCTAGGTTGCTCAAATGTTAACAAGGGGAGAATTTTCCCCCCAAATAATCCACAAAACCAAGCAAAATCTTTTCTCAGTCATCTAATGGCAATGGAAGAGACTTCAAAGATTCAGGTAACTCTGCAATTCCCAAGCTTACAAGAAAACTTCACTATTTCCTTCCTGAGGCTAGAGGGCAGTCCATATGGGCAATAAAACTCATTGCAGATTGTGAGAAGCTTAAATTTCTTGCTCGCCCCTGTGAAAGCTTCTGGGACTACTACTTTGTCGAGGACTGGAAGCACAGACACAGCCATCCACATCGTTTCCTTCAGCTTCTTCTGGTCACCAGACTGATCTCTAAATTTTCAGACCCAGAGCTTCTTCATACTGCTTTCAAATGACCATCTTCCCAGATTTCTTTTGTCAAAGGTACTGTGTAGATTCACTCTTCCCATGATACGCGTGAGGTGCAGAGGCTAACCTATCTGAGCAGTTTTTCTTCATGCTTTTGCTTTTCCCCACTCTCATCGCCCTTATACCAGCCTTTCCCAGATTTCTAAGTGCTACAGAGGACATGGTTCAGCTAAACACAGTGCATGAACATGGATGCAGTCAAACAAACGTAGCTCATGTTTATTATGAGCTTGGTCAGGCAAGAACCTGAGCAACTCCTGGTGACTGACTGTAGCTCCCAGTGGGAGTCAAAGAAAACTAGCACCTGACCAGCTCCTTCCACGGTGACCTACAGTGTTCAGGTGAAAAGTCAAACTGCAGGACTCTCTTTCCTTGCTACTAGTTTTGTAACAACTCAAAGAAAAGCAAAAAAATAAAACACGGCTGTCAGACCTGACTGAATCAGATCAAATAAAAAGAGTAACTCCTAGAAGAAAGGTTGGTATAGCAAAATAAGGGTAAGAATTTCATCAATACTATACACCTAAACATATATAAAATAAATTCAATAAATATGTCTGTACACTAGTTCTGAATCACTGGAATAAAACAGGTATAGACAGTTTGACAGTCCCCTTCCTTTTAGAATCCTGAAGACCTTTTTAAGCACAAAGCAAGTCTCACAACTTGAGTGAGGAAATATCCTCCCCTACACTGTAGTCAGAGAGGGGACAACAACTAAACCAACTCCAAAGCTGAAAACAGAACCTCTAACTTCCACGATTTTGATCTAATAACCAATATTCTGTTCTTCCTCCAACAAAACCTGTTGTGCTACAAAAAAACTCAGTTCAAGAACTGAATCACTCTCACCTTCTACCAACAACAGAGAATATACACACAGCCAAGTGTGTCTGAAAAAATTCAAACTTAGAATAGTGCTCTGCTCACCTAGAGTATGGAAATATTATATACTCTTCCACAATTAACACCAAGAGCTATATAGAAGTGTGACGCTCAAAATAAGTATCTTTTCCCCTTACCTATAAAACATTTATCACCCATTTTCATTAGTTCGATCTGAACTTACTAGCAAATCCATTCAGCATTCCTATAAGACTGTTTTCTAAAGAATCATGCTTACTCTCAGAAGTAACTGAAAAACTGATACCATGAGTTTCACTAAAAGGTTCCCCTACCCCTTGCATTTTCTTCACTCCCATGTAACACAAGTTAGCTGTGCTTGCAGTGGACTCATCAGTAAAATCCCTCTGGAATTTCAAAGTCACACTTCATTTTTCTGTTTCATCCAATAATAAAATATTTTGCAGCTTTGCTAAGACGCAAGACTGAAATTACAAACCCCTGCAAATACTCCAGGTTTACAACACTATCAAAGGTAAACTAGAGAGAATTCCATGGATGAGATGAATGAACTGTTAAATAGTACTGTGTGGAAAAAGGAGATTAGCTGGATCAGAAGGTGCTGCTTCCATACTCTGAACATACTTTAACTGAAAGGGATTTTGGTTACTTTAAATTTGTTCCTAATCATCAATATAAACTCCAGAAGAGGTACTCCCAGATATTTTCAAAAGTTGCTTTAGTATAATTGATGAATGACGCCCCCAACCTAAGGGATCACAGATGTAAGCTGCAAATGATGGGCAATGCTGAAGGCCAAGGAAGATGACGCACAGCACAGCAGGAGAAACAAGAATTGCTACAGAAGCAGAAGCTTCTGTAGTTAACAAATTAACTTCCACCACATATAGCAGTATCAGGATGCCCAGGTGACCTGTGCAAGTCTCACTACCACCCTACAAAAAAAAGAGATTAGAATACCTAATTAGCAAAAGTTCCCTGCCTACATATTAAATGACTTTACTTTCACTTGCCTCAATTGGCTTCCATTAAAGTATGCTGACAGTTGTCTGTTGGGGATTTTTTCAGAAGCTGAAGAAAAATGTTATTGGCATGTAAGAAAAATACTAGTTTATTACCTGCTCTGAGATAATAAAAATCTGAGTAACTTCCCCTTCATAGTAAGCGCATGCTGCCCATGGAATAAGTCACCTACATAGCAAACAATTTCAAAGACAATCAGCCAGCAAATTCAGTTCCAGCATGCAAATGAAAACTGTTTGGTAGAACAGTATTTGCAGTCATACATTCATGCTATTATTTTTTCCTATGTGCAGTAAAACCCAAAAACTTCACCAGGCCTGGAGCTAGGACTTCATTCATGGAGTATTTCAGCATAGGAACTCAGAAAACTGCCTAGAAAATGTGTAAATTTATATGTATGCTGGTGTCATACAACATAGATTTGCCAAATCAAAACTGTAACTGACTAGAACAGTATTTAATGTTCTGTGCAAAATATAATACTTACACTGAGTGCCCGTACAGGGAAAACGGGCACTTGAGGAGCTGAAAGAGAGGCTCAGTATTAACAGTAACAGTAGCAGTAACAATGATGTATTATCCTGCAAAATGATCAGTTACAGCCTAAATCAGGTGTCTTTTTTCTTTTAAACTATAAGATGCACTTCCAAATAAAATGTGGTATCTGTACTTCTGTGCTGGAGCAGAATTACTTTCTGCATAAGTTCTGAAGCTTTCTGTTCACTTATCTTGCCAACAATTTTTACATTCAATTACCTTTAACTTTTATTTATTATTTTAAGCCAGATATTGGTACACTTTTTTTTTTTTTTATAAATAAATAAATTCATCTCAGGGCTACAATCTAAAGCCCCTCTGACCTAGATCTTCCTTTGTGGTTAAAAGGACTACAGACAGAGAAGTTGTAGATTCAGATCTCAAAAATTAAGCTGCAATATGGTTTAATGGCTTTTGATAAGGTAGGCTCAGGTCCTGCAAAATCCCTGTAGACAAGCCCCAGTACTCTGATCTCAATAATTACCTTTGTTAGTCATTATTACCGTTAAGCAGACTTGTCAAGGATATACACTATTTTCTTACTTAAGCAATAATGGAGAGATTGGTGGACATACACAGGACGAGAATGCAGTCCAGTCCAGGCAAAATAGTGTTACAGTGGCCTGATCCAACAAGCGTGGGAAGTCACTGGAAAGACATTGACTAATTTGATTAGTCATCTGGCATCAAATAAAAAGATATGTATGTCCTGCTACAAAAATCTGTGTGTGTGTGTGTCTGTGCGTGTGCGTATCTGTGCGTGTGCGTGCGTGCATATAAAAAAATAACCAGCATACCTCTAAAGTAGTTCATGGAACAACTTCTTCCATCTGTTCTATGTAGTTCAGGTAGTAAAGCTAATAATGGCAATGTCATTTCTACTTATTCATTTGTCATTATAAATAGTACATTTTCTTTTGTCTACTCAGTTTTACCAAAGTCAATGCAGACAGCTTTTTATACAAACACCTCACCTGCACTGACCAGGTAGGATACAGTAACCATGAAGTAACAACTGGAAGAACACCACTGAGGATGATATATTGGTTTTGAAGCCATTACCAAAACTTCCAATTAACTTCTAATTTGTGCTAAGTTTAAACTTCAGTAACAGTTTGGACAGAAACGACTGCAATTTAAGGCTGTTCCTCCAAATTACATTACATGCAGACAGTCTAAAAAACACATTGGTGTAAGATGGCTCTCATTTCCTTCACACTCATGAAACACAGCTGTCTGTTGCATCAGTGTTTTTTTCCTCCTCTAGAATATAGAATATAAATAAACATGCTGTTTTGGAAAAGATTTGGTTTACAAATTTCAGCCCCCTTTCACTCCCAGGCTCTACATGCTGAGACAGGACCCAAGTCACCCACATTTTCCAGTCTCATAAAAATTTTAATCAATTCATTTTAGGCAATTTCCAGCTATCAGAAATTCACTGGTATTCAAAGAAATAAAAATAAATAAATAAATAAATAAATAAGTAAAATAGGAGCATTTTGCAGGCAATTCAACATTTGACATTTAACAGCATGCAGCTAACCTTTGTGTTTCCCTTTTTTCTCCTTTCTGGTGTTGCCAGTTTGACAGCTTGCAGCTGCTGCCTTGATTTTTTTAGTTGATTTCAGAGCTTGGGCGTCCACTACCACCTTTACATCTTCCTGTTCGGCCTCCTGCACTGCTTGAGAGATTCAGGGTACCCCCATCAAAAGAGAAAAACAAAGAGAGACAGAGAGAGAGAGAGAGAGATGAGAGACGAGAGAATGAATTGAGAACTCTGCGAAGGCACAAAGGAGTAAGCAGACATAGCAGAGTCTACAGTTTGCTTGGTATTTCAGATAATTCATGCAGAGAAGAGACTCGAACAAGCCAGAAATTGCAAAGCGATAGTCAAAAACTGAAGGTATTAGGTTAGATGGGATGCATTTCCCTGACTTGTTTTCTCTTTCCAATAATGCATCACCTCCTATCTTTCAGGCCAAAAATAACACCAGAATATTAATGTGCTGCTGAGCTAGTGTAAGCAGCACATTTCCTCATACCAAAACTCTGTCAGACTGACCATCAAGAGTGGCAGCATGAAGACGGAATGACTTAATTTAGACTTTGCAGTGAATGTGCTTACACCTACATCCTAACCCCATAAGCAAAGATTCATCAGAACTTTTATTTTCAAAACATACATCTTATACAATTGTATATACCATGCTATGATTAGTAGAAGTGCTATGCATTTATGGAGAAATAAAAGCCCAGGCTGAATTTACAAACTGCTCTCATTTTGTAATGTCTGCAAATTAATTCATTCTTTTGAAATCTCAGCATAAGATACATTGCATGAACTGTGACCGTCAGCATAACATGCTAATTGTTTTCAAAGTAAAAAGAGGTTTTATCACTTTTTAAAAGCATTACATACTTTGAGCTCAATATTTGAAATCTAGGAAAGCAACACATAGAATAACTCATTCTTCCGGCCAGGGCAAGCCTTGAAGTGAAATAAAAATGAGTTTACAAAGGCATAAAAGCAATTACCTTTGTGAAATGCATACATAAGTCATCCAACTTCCCAGCTCCAGGCAAAACAACCTAGAGGTGGGCACTGAGGGATTTTGGCACCAGCTGCTCAGTCTCTGTTAATTGCTAAGCCCCCTAGCCTCACATGGTGACAGGGATTTATCACAGAGCAATACGATTCTGGCACTTGGGGCCTCCCATCATCCCTTTCTCTTTTACCAGAAACTAAAGTGTTTTCTTTAAAAGAAAAAATTATGTCCACTAAGGAACCTTCTTGGAAAGAACTGGTTGCTCATAAGATCACTTTAAAAAAATCCCTGCTCACCAAATCCTTCACCTACATGAACAGCCATAGGAACACCAATGTGATCCTCAGAGGAATAAGATGAAATGGATTTAGCCATGTCTCTGTGAAATGTAGCTTACAAACCCACAGCTACTCTCCCCTGGCACAGCAATCTATTATAAATAGCATTACTATTACTCAACTTCTATAGAGAACATGCATGAAATTGGCAGAAGTATGTGTGATCAGTGGCCCAAAGAAACGGCTTGTCATCGCCCGACTCCTCATTCCTCTGTCTTATTAAACACTAATCACAAGATTGCAGTCCCTTTGCTGAGCGTCAGAGAGCACTGTGGATAATGAATAAGACATAAACAAAGAAGTGAGTGCACAGAACCTCGGGGAAAATGGTACATAAAAGGCAGCATGGCAGCCTCTAACTAAGCAGGGCAAAAAGCCCCTGCCTGTGCTGTCTTTCAATAGGTGTATTTGCGAGCCCAGCAATCTGTCCTATATCCGTAGCTCAGTCTCCCTTTAATAATTAGGGTAAGTCCTTTTCCTTGTTTCAAAGATGAAATTCAGTTTATAAGTGAAATTCAGTACTTTTCAAATGACCTACATTCAACGATCAGTTAGCTCTCTAAAGCCTTTTAAATATGGCCATACTCATTCATTCAGATGAAACATCATTTACTTAGCCCAAAATAACGATTAATCAGGAAGGGATGAAACACTCTGACATTGTTAACTGAAAAATTAAAAACTTATCTTCACTATCTTGTCAGCCATCCTCTGATCTAATACGTAAAAGCCCAAAGTTTGATGAATTATTTTTGTCCCACAACTTTCGTCAAGAGATATCTGATTATAAGTACAGGAGTGGGACTTCCACAGGAGAGAGAAGGAATATTTCTGTTATTTTGATCTGAAAGGCTAAGGCAAGATTTCAGTCCAACGGCTGTTTTGAACATATACCGTCACTGCTGTGCTGGAGACAGGACTTTCAGACATAAGTGATGGAGACTGCAAATAAGATTTAAACCATACATACACAAAACTTACAGCTGGGTTCATGAAAGGAGTTAACATGG